CTACTCAAGTCACACACACTTTACCCTGCACACACTATAAAGTTGTGTACAAGGCTACCCCCCTGCTCCGCGTGATAGCAGCATCAGCGTAAATAGTCTGACTCCCGAGTTTGCTCATAATATTTAATAAAACCATTTTCAGAAGTTAGAAGCGCCAAGTTTCTTAAACTCAGTGGGATCCCTCTATCACTTCCCTTTCAATGAACATATTTGATCATAAAAAAAATTCTAAGACTTTTAAAGCTTAATCAGTAAAGAGAGGATATGTTTTGTTTTTATTTAACCTATCTAAAGCCTRCTTAGAAAAAAGAACCCTACTAACTAGAATTCTTGAACATTTGCAACTGAATTAACTTTCRTTAATTGGCACCTTTGGTAAAAATGCCAGCCCTTATCTGCAAAMGGCATTCAGGAGATAATGATGTTCTGCATGCTAGTGGAAATACAGAATAAGTAAAATAACAGGAGTTATAAGACATGTCAATGAAAAGAGGGTAAAACTTTTGCATCCTGTCAACTTCAAATATGAAAAGCAACCTAAGTCATTCTCTGTATGACTTTTTCTTTCCATTTTTTGGCTTTTATAAAAACTTAGGGAAACATATGAAAAGCATTCACGTTGTTTATCTTGATTAATTCTASTTCTTGTTAATGGTTATTTAAATGCTGAGAGTGTTTGAACATACACTTGGAGTGAAAAAATAAATAAATTACAAAGATAGAAAAATTAACAGCACTGAACTAAACAAGCCATCCTCTCACCTTCAGGTATTTTGCATAAAAACAGCTCAGTCCAAAGCTCACATCTGTATGCTTAAAAGGCTGCTCAGTAAGATATGAAATTACTTGGCTGTCTCAATCCACCTCCCATTGGACAGGAGTGTTTTCCCAATGGTTTCCACTACCATGGCATCTTGACAACCATAGAAAAGAGTGATATGACAAAGTTTAGCAAGGGAAATGACAATTCCAGTTTTAACCTGGAGTAAATTCTGTCAATTAAGACAGAGTGTCAGTCTCTGGGGCTCTCAAGCTGTCACATTTCACTAATACAAACTTCACTTTAAAGTTAATAAAAAGCATGTGATAGGCAACCTACTACAGTTACCAATCAGCCTCCACAATTCAGATTTGCAAGAGGAGGAAGGCCTTGCACTAAGAGGTCCTGGGACTTCCTTTCTAATCAGCATTGACTTTCCATCCTCAGGTTTCATAATGYGGACAGTTTACACAGAACTGACCGACAAAGAATCGCAGAACGGTTGAGGTTGGAAGGGACCTCTAGAGATCATCTAGTCCAACCTCCCTGCTCCAGCAGGGATACCCGGGGCACAGGGCGGCATCCAGCGGGGTTTGGAAGATCTCCAGAAGAGACTTCTCAGCCTCCCTGGGCAGCCTGTGCCAGGGCTCTGTCAACATCACCTGAAAACCCAAAAGCTTTAAACAGTAAAAGCTAGCAAATAGGTATGTGAGCTTCCAACTTTTCCTGAGCCTTTATGTTCAGGACACGACTCCTGGACATCTTAGATGCAAAACGTGAAACAGAGGAACAGAAATAAAGCAGCAGAACTAAAGAGAAAATAAGTGACAATGGACAATAAACAAAGCATTTTCTCTCCAGACTAATCCTGGACTTCCATTTGGAAAGCAGATTGGCCATGGAAGATAGGAACTGTAGTGGAACCGAAAAGTGGAACAGTATTTTCAAGCTTTCATATTATTTCTCACCTACTAGTTTACTGAAGAAAGAGTACAAATATGAGAAAAGCTAGGGATGATTAAAAAGATCATGCAAAATAAGATGCGTTTCCCTGTGATGGGATTCAAAATAATAAAATAAAAGATATGTTTCTTTTTCAACTCATTTTAAAGAAAAAAGCACTCAAATTGCCATTCCAAATAGTTTTATATAAAGAATACTCTTTAATAACAAAAAGCATAATAAGAAATATTTTGCTGTTTTGTTTTGATGCATTAGGTATTGCTCTAACCTCTCTAACTTCAGGTAATTGTAAATCTTATCACTCCTTCTCTGCTGTGCTCATTTTCACCCAAACATGAACAACAACTTTCACTGTAAGAACTGGCCTACTGTAATGTATGTAATGAATAAACAGGCAAGACAAATATAAAAATCACATCATATTCATAATTTTATGAAGTTAAGACTGGTAAAATAACAGGCTAAATTAGGCAATGGTATTAAGCATTAAGAAACCCTTTCAGAAGTAGAATTACAATGCTATCCTCAGCTCAGCTCTGCAGTGACAAAAGCCAGTACCTATAAAAACAGAATGATAAAAAAGGAGTAATAAAGTTTAAAATGCGACATGGAAAGGAAATTTATCTCTTTTTATGCCATATGAAGGCAATCTGCACTGATTGTTTGGTTTACCTGTTTCCCTTTTCTTTTTCAAAATCAACATTTTGTCTACTTTGATTTGCTTCAAAACCTGATTTAACATAGGTGAGAACTACAGTTTTATTACATATCATACATACTATGAAAAAAGGACAAATTGTTAAAAAAGGATCTTCCATTTTATTTGACTTTACTGCTCTTATATTAGAATAGGAACATTCCTATCTTTAGCAAGAAAAAAAWTTTTCTTTCAGCTTTAGTTAACAATTATTACTTTCTAAGAAGTTTAAGCGTTAGGAAAAAAAACTCTAAATTAGGGATTTCGATTTTTTTTTTCCCCTATTTTTTCTGATGGAGCATTTCAGCTACAAAGGACTTGTGACAAACAGCCCTCAGTAAGTCTCCTACTGCAGGATTAAAGCACAGAATTCAGGTAGCTTCCCCCAACAGCTCTCTAAGAGTCCACCCGGCAGCAAAAACACGATCTCAGGCAGTGCCGCCTCCCTGGGGAACAGGCGCCGAGGCTCCGAACAGAGAACCTAATGACACCTCCTGTGTTCGGGGAGGACATTCGGGGCACTGTGCTGAACACCAATTACTGGCAGCTACCACGCATTAGAAGAACCTATAACCCACAAAAATAAAGTCACACCTCCTGATTTTCAGTCTTTATGCCCTTATGTAAAGCATTTAACGTGACAAGCAAATTTACCAGAAACTTCCATACCTCACTAATACCTCAGCAACTTGCTTAAAACATAGCACTAAAAGGCCCTCTAGTTTTGCCACTCACCTATGCCACATATTTCGGTATTGCAGTGAAAAAAATGGGTATAAATCATGGGGTTCTTTTCATCATACATTGCAGGTCACAGATAAGCTAAAGCACTAAAAGCCTCCTCTTCCTCTTCTCACAGGGSAAAAAAAGTCCTTAAATCCTTCATCACAGCCTTGTCAATCTGCTCCCTACCACCACCCAGTGCAGTCACGGGCAGCGGATGAAACAGAGCTGCAAGCAGCACTAACCCCAGCGGCTACAGGCAGCTTCAGGGCAACAGCCCTAGAGCTGAGGCCAGGTGACAGCGCGTCCCCTAACCCCCACGTTTGGTATATGTCAAAGGCTTAGGTTTTTCTAAACTTGACATCAGCGAAGATTATGAGACACCACCATCATACCTTGGCATTGAATTCAAGTATTTACCAGGTTTTTCCTCCTCTTGATATACAGATAAACGTAGCTATCATGCAAGTTTACAGCAGTTATAAGACTCTGGTCAGCTAAAGATACAGGATCTTGCCTGCTATTTAAATTGCTTCTTTTCTGTGGACTTTGTTATGCAGAAACAAAAGTGATGACTTTGCTGTGAAGGCAGGGCAWAGTGCCTCCATCTCTAGCACCTTCATGTGTGAACATCTCTAGTGTCCCACCAATCTTTCTACATATACCTGTAGCTAACTTTTATCCCAGCCTATGAACTTTTAGAGATATATATATGATATGATATTTATTAAATATGTCAGGCAACCTGTTAAAAGCCCTCCATGCAAGTGAAATAGCTTAAGTATATATATATACACACACACACATATAATAAAAAGAAATATACAGTTAATGTTTACTAYATTTATATATAAATATATTAGTAATATTTAATTATTAATATTTAATGCCTTCAGTGCATCAAAATACACAGACAAAAAGAAACAGCAAAGAAACATGGGGTTTGCCTGCAAGTCAATACTTTGCAATCCAGAATCCAAGAGAAAAAAAGCTACTACTTTTTTTTTTTTTTTAATATATTTACGTGATCTGACCAAAAAGCAGTGCAAACAGACCCAGATTATTTAAGACACAGTATCACACAGAATTACAGAATGGCTGAGGGGATCTTGGGAGATCACCTATTTCACAATCTCCCCTGCTCATGCAAGGTCACCTAAAGATTTTCCTCATATTCAGACAGCAGATATCAAATACAGAACATTYATTAGTGTTTCACATATGTAAAACCACTGCTGTTCATTAGACATTCAGTCTTGCGAGATGCCAAGTACCCTTTCAGAAGGGGCTTTCTTTAACCTCTGTTGAAATCAATGGGACTAGAGGACAGCCTACATATCTCAAGATTGAYTTGTAGTTTAAAACCTCTGTAAAAAGTCAAATTTGTAACACCAGAAAAGAAAAAAAGCATTAGTTTAATAAAGCACTATACAGTTCATCTGATTAAGTGTCATGCATTAACAGCATTGCCAGCTTTTAATTTAAAAAGTAATCATGAAAACTAACTAGTTTATTGTATTAATATTAACATGCAGTAGGTACAGACAGAAAAAACACTCTAGTATGAACCCTACCAGTTTTTGGCACAACTGCTTTTCTTTCCAGAATACTAATATACTGGACTTTTCAGTCTGAGACTTAGCTTAAAAGAAAATACAATTGTAATGCAAACATGCCAAAATCCAGTATTTTCATCATCACAATAATGACAGAATAATATAATTGCCACACTACACACTAAAAGAATTTGAGTGATATTTGAAAAAAAATATTTTTTCTAAAGGTACAAAACTTAATACTACAAATCCTTTAAACTTTAAACTTCAGATCCCCGAGGCAGTCACACAGCACGTGTACCTGCAATAGGAACGTTCTGCGAGACTGAGAGCTGCACGTCCCCGGTTCCAGGCGGCATGTCAATTACTAAATAGTCCAGTTGGCCCCAGTCAACCTAAAAAGCAACAATAAATATGTATGTTGGAGGTCTGGGTGGTTTCAAGGCATTTCATAGGACACAAGGACTGAAATTGAATCAACATGTGAGACAAGAAATTTCTAGTCATGCTTCTAGTAAGGGATTAAGACATTACCTTTCTCCATGATATGCCATCTGACCACTCAAAATTAGGAGCAAAACTTTATTAACATCAGGAGTGTAATCTTTATTGAACTTCCTCCCCACTAAAGCAGTCATAATTTAAGTAATTTTTTCTCACAGCTGTCAAATCAGAGGTTAGCAGCAAGTGTTAAATCAAATTCAAGTTCAAATATTGTCTGTTGTGTAACAAATACTGCTGAGGAAYTCTTTCCATCTATTTTAAGTCAATTTTATCACTACTTTGAAACTTGATACTATGCAGAAAATGGGTTTGTTATTGAAGTTATTCAGACACTGAATTTTTGTTAGAAAAAGGTGTTGCAAAAAAAAAAACCCTCTCTTAAATAAAAATCACCACCTATATTATTACGTAGGCTTAAAATAGCCATAAAACATCACACAATAAAATTGGTTGCTAGGCATCCAATGAGAGTGACCAATCACAGCTGCCAGGCTCAATCCTGGGTAGTGCTGGGATTATTTATATGCTGGATTTTCAGGAGGGCGAAATAAAGTCCCTGTACCATAATCCACACTCTCTTCAGCAGCTCGCAGCGGGGAGGCTGCCTAGTAGAGTAGCCTCTCCTACCCCATAGGAAGGAAACGATTCTTGGMCTTCTCCACACAGCATAAAGCTGATCTCCGCGGTCTCCACATTTTCCAAGRGTTTATCCAAGCCTCTGGAGATTCTTGAGTCAATGCTGACATGCTTCTGGCTAAAACCATTATATTCTTGCTAGCCATTCATTTTGATATTGGGTCTTTTATTTCCTTGGGATAAAAGCTTTAGAAATCACAGCCCCATTAAAAATAAGAATCCACTTCCCCTACTTTTCAGGTCACACAGACACAATGTGATTATATGGTGCATTTGTACAGCAGACATAAAAGACAACCATCTATGAGCAGCTCTAATACAGGACGATGACCAGCTAAGACTGGATTTTACTTACTTTCTTTACCACATTCCACCAGTATCATCCTAATAGCACAAACAACCGATGATTTTGCCTATCTCCACTTGCCAGACCATCAGGGGAACAGTCATTCATTTTCATTCTGCTCCTGCATGGATAATCATGTTCTGAGGAAGCACAAGTGCCTTTAAAACCACTAACACAATGCAGCCCTCCAGTGAGAAATAGCATCTTTCAGAGCTGATTGATGAAGATGGAAGATTTTAGAGCACATGTGGGAAAAGAGGGGTAAGGAAAGTTAGTCACAATTTCTAACTTTAGATGTCTAAATTAGGGACTCTGATTGCTTGGAAAAACCTTCCTTTCCTTACTTCCTATACAAAGGCTACAGGAGCTGTAAATGGCCTCACGTTAGCTGATGTTAGTTAGATGACCAACAAAGCCTAATCAGAAAACACGACTTAGGTTAACCATAGGAAACCAAGTACCTCACTTCAGGTTTTCATATTAAACATTTACCTAGATGACCAAAAATGTGATGATATGCCTTGCAGATTTCTTAAGCAACTAGCAATTACAATCATGACAAGAAAATACAGCCCCAAAGGAAAAAAAAAAATCATTCTAAAGGTGACAAACTGAAAGACAAATGGCCACAGTAAAGAGTAACAGTACTCGATGACATAAGGCCAAGTTCCTTACAGACTCCACAACTGAACATACACATATACACCTTACAAGTTAAAAAGCTCTTTCCCTCAAATGGTTCTTTTCCCTGCCCAGTGCACCTTTCTTGAAGCAGTCTTGACACCTTTTAAGTCCCAATTTGAGAGTTCAGCATCATACTCCTTAAAAACCCTCATAGTGAATCTAGAAGGTACTTGCTTCCCTGTCTTGTAGCAAGGTGCCATCCTGAAACAGGAGCATCATGGCACTACTATCATACTATCAAACTGATTGTTTCCATTTACTTTGTCTGTCAAAAAATACAGTTGTTGAAGAAACCTGGACATTCAGTTAAAAAAAAAAAAAAAAAAGACAATCATGATCCAACCCTCATCAAGGGTGACTGGAATGATAAATATATAGACTATTTTTCTAGTAGCTAAAAGCTGCCTATTTTCTCATACACTTGATGATCCTTATCTTATAGTCTCCTTTCTTTTGAGAAACCAGGTGACTTTCTAGGATCTGGACTATAGCTTTTCTGTGCACTTGGATCAGATGTCAGGTTCTACTCTTCCAACCTGCTCAGGCACTGCAGTCACCTTCACCAAACTCCATGCAATCCTTCCATCAGATGAGCACCACAGTTCCCTAAATAAAGCGCTGAGACACGTTCTGCCACTATGCAAAACGTGAAGGGAAGATACAAAAGCCAGTGCTCAGACTGTTTCCTAGACGTTTTGTTCAGTATGTAAGCACAAAGTGGTTGCTTTCTAAGCAGAGGAGGTTACCTTGGTCAAAATATCTCCACCTGGAAACTTTAAGTTAAAAGAACACCTATATAAATAGCTTACTACCAAATAAATGCATGCAACAATGACTTGGACAGTTAATCTGAAAGTTCATCCTAGTATAGCAGAATGTGGGAAGAGGKCATAGAGAAGTGACCACTAGAGCTTTCCTTGTCAAATTTCTTTGGAAAGTGACCCCAGAACAAGCAAAAGAACATTCAGTACAGATTTCTAGACTGTCCTACGAGTAAAGATTTGTATCAAAGTTACAAACATCTGAAAATAGAAGTTAATAATGCAATATGAAGCCCCTGGTAAACCTTATTGCTAGGCAACAGGAAGATACTGCCAACACAGTGCAATTAAATTATAACACTGTACTTAATTTACAGCACTAAAATCACCTTATTTCATATATTTATTTCATATACTTTATTCAAATTCATGGATTGAAGAAACAAACAGGATTTATCAAGTGAACTGTGCTCAGTTATCATTCTTACAAATCTGAATCAACAGGAAAATAGAGGAGATGYCCTGTCTGGGCAGGAACAGAGATCATGTTTGCTACTAGGCAGAGTAGGTGGAAGACATGTTCCTGTCACAGCACTTCAGAATATACAATAATGAAACCATCCAGCTGTGCAAGCGTTGAAAACCTATGCAAGAACTACTCTCCACACACCTCTGATTTATGTCAGTGCAATTACTCTAAGACAGATGGCAAGTTGGACCAGAGAAATATTGATAATCTTAAAAAAGAATCACATGAGCTTTTTTCTTTTGGGGTTTTCGATGTAGTAACACAATCGTGGACATTCACCATGAAACCTACAAAAATAAAGCTAGAAAAACAAATAGAAGTGGTCAAAAAGCAGTATATTATAAAGGAGAATCTATAAAGTAAATCATACCTCAGGGAATACCTTAAGACGCAAGCGTACATATAGGTAACTTTATTGTGTTCTTTCCCCCATCTAAATTTGGGTGAGAATGGATTTAACATCGATGAAGCCAGACGTACACTGACGGAGTCGCACTGGCAGAGCTGCGCTTGCTCAAGGTACCTGAGCTGGGGTTTTGCCCAGACTGAGCAGTGCCCCACAGGCACTCGCGCCTTCTCGGACCCCGCCTGGGCAACCCTGYGCCTCACTGCATTGCTCTGCATAGACCTCCTCTTACTCTCCTCCGCTGTGCAAGGAAAYGTTGGTCTCTGTGAAGGCTATTGGCTCTGCCACTCCCCACCAACAAGAATATACAAACAATATGACAGTTTTTATTAAAAAGTGTGCAATTTAGGAAGATATATCCATTTGCTTTAAAAGTATCTATTACATATCTAGGCAAAACATTCCAGATTTGTTMTTAAATTTAATCAAAACAGAAAGAAGACATGCAAAGCCATTTTTAATCCAACTTAAAACTGGAACATGAAATCAGATGAGTGGCTTTCTAAAAAATCTACTACTGTCATTCTTTACAAATTATTAAATGGGACACACAATCAAGCTGTGATATAAAAGTCATTTGAATGCAAATCCTGTTTATATACAACAATTTACCAAACCACACTAGTCCTTGTGTTCTCAGTCAGTTCCAAGAAGTGTGTCTGTATGTAAATATTGCTCCATACAAATAAATGAAGTCAGATGAACAGCACATTACACTGAAGCAGTCCCTGTGCAAGCAGTAAGGGAGAGCAGTTACACAAGCCTGCCTTGAAGCATCTGATATCTGTCAGCACCTTTGAACATATAGGAATGTTAGTACTTTTGCCTAATACATATAGCATGTAAAACATTTCAAACCATAGAAATAACTGCATTTTCCTCGACATCATCTTCKTTTAAAAACATTTAACTTATTAAGCCATGTAATTAAGTACTACACGCTTCTGTGTATTTTTGCTTGCTCAGAAACATCATGAATGCTTCTGTATAGATTACCTTAACCAATCACTGTTTATGTGACAATTCATAATCAAAATACCAGATATGCATTCTGGAGCAAGGGCTGCAAACAGCAAGCTTGGGGTGAGGTGGAGCATACAGGCAGAYGTGCAGTTCCCCTGGAGAATGAGGCCTCCCTGCTCTCCGTGCATGAGGCAGCAATGACAGAGTATTAGCATAGGAGAGGCATTGCTGCTTGTGGCGATGAAGTAATCCTAGTGTTTGGTAAATAGCAGAAGATATTATTTATTTGTTCTTATTAAGAGGAATCCATGCCGAGTTTCAATCAAGCAGCACTGCAGGTGCAGATCAGGCAGCAGSCAGCCCAGCTCCCCACACCACAGTGAGACAAGCCCTAAGAGCTCCGTTGCTGACAGCCTCATGTGCAAGCCCAGCTGCACCCCCCACGAGCTCCTATATACACATGTGTGTGCACACATACATATTATTTAATACTGCTAATTAGGTGAACAAAGAAGTACTAGAAAACCTGCTAACATAATATGCATATACACAACTGTTTGCATATA